GTTTCCAGCTGGGAGCTGGGGCCTGTCAGTCCTGTCTGCCACGAGGACCTGATGTGGGCCACCCTTGGCCAAGTGTTCTTCAGAGCCACACTTAAAGCAAGTGAGTGGGAGCTTCCTCTCTACTCCCTTGCCTATCTGTGGCTCTCGTCTGTGACACTGTCTACTGAAGTGGCCCAGCTTTCTTCAGATTCCTTCCTTCTTTTTCCTCTAGAAAATGAGTGTTAAGGGCTTTATCTTTTATTTCACTAATTTTGTGCTCTATTTCTTTAATTGCCCTCTTTTATCTCTCCAATAGGCTGACAGCTTCTACAGTGTTGGCTTTATTATTCCAGGTAACAGGTTCTTGTTTTTCAACAGTTTCTAATATTACATTGGCTTTATCAGTTTTGTCTTGTATTGATTTTTAAATTCTCCTAATGAAGAGACTGAGATTGTTAACAGCTTCAGTTTCCTTGACTCCACTATCAACACTCATGGTACCAGCAGCCAGGAAACGAAAAGATTAATTGCATTGAGAAAGTGCTGTTAGGGCACTCTTCAGAGTACTGAAGAACAACAGTGTCAGTCTGGAGAATAAGGTATGCCTGATCCAGACCATAGTCATCACAATTACTTGCTCTGTGTCAGAGAGCTGGACAATGACTAGGGATGAGACTAGGAGAATTGATGCCTTTGAGCTGTGATGCTGGAGAAGAGTATGCCATGGACTGCTAGGACTACAAATAGGTTCATCCTAGAGAGAGTGAAACCAGGCTGCCCTTTGGAGGCAAGGATTCTGAAGCTTCCTGATATACTTTTGGCATATTACAAGGAGGGACCAGTTTGGAGAGGGACATCATGCTTGGAAGGGTGGAGGAACAGCACAAGAGAGGAAGACACTCAAAGAGACGGACTGATTCAGTGGCTGGGTTAATGGGGGTAGGCATGTCAGAGACAATAAGGTTGGCACAAGATAGAGCAGGGTTTAGGGCTGTTGTATGTAGGGTTGTTACGAGTGGAAAGCAACTCGATGTCACATAACAACAACAAAAACCCATTGGAGTATCAGCTACGAGTCAGTTCTGACTTGACACTTGTGGTGTACCATAGAGGTGGGTTTTCAGAGGCACTTAATTATACAGGAGGAAATTGCCTATCCTTTTCTCACAGAGCAGCTGGTGGGCGTGAACCATGTGCTTTCTGTTTTGCAGTGTAGCTTCTTGCCACTAGGCTACTAAGCTCCCTCTGGCACACAACGAAAATAAAAAACTCTTTGCTTGTGGTTTCCTTCAATTCTTCATATATTTTTCTGATTCTGTGAAAATACTTGGCCATCATTCTCCTGAATTCATTTTCAGAGTATTCCATCAACTTATTGTCTTTGTGTTCTGGACCCTTTTTTGTGTAACATATTTTGGAGAGTATTAATGTTTCTGCTGCTTTTGGACTTCCTTTCTTCGTGTGTGTGTGTGTGTGTGTGTGTGTGTGTGTGTGTGATGGCTGTGAGTGTCTGTATTTGTTCATCGTTTATGAAGTGTTATTGGTTGGGGATGAGGTTGGATGGTGATGGCTATCATCTTATACCAATCAGGTGCTATATGCTAAGACTTGGGATGTGTAGGTACTCTAGTCTGGTGAGCCATGAGACCATCTGTGAGTGGTGTGGGAACAAGCCCACAGTAGTGGTTTGCAAATTACCTCCTTTCTCTAGATCCAGTTGTTGAAAGGAGTATTTCAATTGTTCCCTCTTTGGGCATCATGTCAGCTGAGTCAATGAATTTCTGACTCCCTGACAGTGTCAATCAGAGGCTCTCTGTAGATCAGTGAATCTCTGAATTACTGGGCCTATGGATGTTCAGCTTGTGTTTGGTGTGGTGTTGAATCACAGAACCATGTGTGAATGTAGTAATAAGTTGTTCGACTGTCATTGGTATGATCCACTGTAGGACACCACAGAAGCTTTCTAGGCTATTGTCAGACACAGTGTGTGACCTGCCTAATGTGTGGTGTGGCCTTGGCTTTCGTCAGGTACTTCTTGGCAAAGTTAGCCAGAGTTTGCTGGAGTCTTGAGGTCTGGAATTTGAGGGTGCTGTCTCAAAGCTGCTAGGCTGGCATTAGGTGTGGTAGTTTTTTAGGTTGCCTGTCAGCATTGTTTTTGTTAAAGGTCTATTAACTTTGCCAGGAAAATGGTCTATGAGCTCCCACTCACTGCACCTGCCCCAGCTTCCCCAGTGCCAGATTAAAAACGACGTTATGAACTCCCACACACTGTGCTCCTTCACGTTTTCCAGTGCCCGCTTCAAAATAGCATTAGCAAGCTCCGACACACTGAGTCCATGCATGGATTCCCAGTGCCAAATTAAAAATGGTGTTGGCCTACCACAGGGGATGAGTTGTGCCTGAGTATCTGAGGAAGTCTTGTTTATTAAGGTGGAAATTCATTCATCCGGATGTCAGTGAGTAGCAGGAAGATGAGGTCCTGTCTTCTCCATGGTGCAAGTGAGACACTGGCAGTTCATGGTGGGTCCCCAGCCTAGCCTCTCAAAGGCAGTTCAGGTTGAGTTTGTGGAATGGCTATTCTCTCTTTAATTGGTACTCACTCACATCTTCGCTCTCCTCCGTGGCTGACTTTGCTTTCAAAAATTTCCCTCAAATTTTAGAATTCTAGAATTATTGTCTGTGACTGTATTTCCCTTTTGATGTTCCTGCTGGAGAGTGACAGATTTCCCAGTTTGACTTGTTCACCATTCTTCCAGAAGTCTCTGAATAAACATTTCTTTAAAGAAGATGTGACAATCTTGTTCTTGTTGTTCCGTACTGTCAGGCTTGAGGTGATTCTTTGCCGACTCTCCACCAGGTATTCAGAGGCAGTAAATCTACAGGAGGAGACTGCCCATATTTCTCCACAGAGCAGCTGGTGCATTCAAACCATGTGCCCTCAGACTGATAATACAGCTCTTTGCCACTAGACAACTGGAGATCTCTTTTTTAAAAAAAAAATAAATAACTTTTTATTGTGATTTTAATGAAAGTTTACAGAAAAATTGGATTTCCTTTAATTCATTGTTGCACATTTTCCTCCACAATTTGCTTTTCTCTTTAAAAAAAGCTCACTAATAGTGCGTGCCGTGTCCATGGAGAGAGGCTGAGGGTTGGGAGCCCTGGCCCGAGGCACCCGGGCAGCGAAGATGTCAGCTTCCCTAGTCCGAGCCACTGTCCGGGCTGTCAGCAAGAGGAAGCTGCAGCCCACCCGGGCTGCCCTAACCCTGACACCTTCAGCAGTACACAAGATAAAACAGCTTCTTAAAGATAAGCCTGAACATGCAGGTGTGAAAGTTGGTGTTCGAACCAGAGGTTGCAATGGCCTTTCTTATATTTTAGAATATACAAAGACAAAAGGAGATTCTGATGAAGAAGTTGTTCAAGATGGGGTCAGAGTGTTCATCGAAAAGAAAGCACAACTCCCCCTTTTGGGAACAGAAATGGACTACGTAGAAGACAAATTATCCAGTGAGTTTGTGTTCAATAACCCAAACATCAAAGGAACGTGTGGCTGTGGAGAAAGCTTTAACATCTGAACTCTCAGGATCCTTCATGCTGCCGTGACCTGCAGGGATACCTGCAGAAACCTTGGGCCTACTGAAAAATTGTGACTGTCGTGTTGTTAGATTCATAATGTATTGGTATCTTCTGAGAAAAATAAAGGAAAAATGTGAAAAGTAAAAAAAAAAAAAAAGCTCACTATTGTACAATTTCCTCCCTCTCCCAATCCCAGTCCACTTTGCTATGCACCTCTTATTCTGAACTGTTGTTATGCAGATAATGACTATTCATATATTCCTTTTAAACCATTCTTTCTATTCCAATGCAGTGTTCATTATTTACCCTCTCTTTTCTCAGTTTCCCCCAACCCCAATGTCAGTCCTTTTTTATAACAGTGGCATTATGCAGTATTCGTCCTTTTGTGACTGAGATCTTTTGCTCAGCATTATGTCCTCCAAGGTCACCCATTTTGTATAATATTTTGAGTTTCTTGTTTTTCAGTGCTGCATAGTATTCCATTGTGTGACTATACCACAGCTTCTCTATCCATTCATTTATTGATGGGCACTTGGGTTGCTTCCATCTCTTTGCTATGTAAACAATGCAGCAATAAATGTAGGTATGCATTTCTCTGTTTGGGTGGCAGCCCTGGTTTCTTTAGGGTATATTCCCAGTAGTGGAATTGTATTAAAAAACAAAATAAATAAAATAGTTTTTTCATTTCCAACTTTTTTAGAAAGTTCCATACTGCCTTCCATAATGGTTGCACCAATTTATCCTCCCAAAAATAGTGAATAAGGGTTCCAATTTCTCCACAACTTCGCCAGTATTTGTTGTTTGCTGCTCTATTGAACTTTGATATTGTTACTGGGGTAAGAAGATATCTCATAGTTGTTTTGATTTGCATTTCTCTTTGAGTTAGAGATTTTGAACATTTCTTCATGAGTTTGTTTGCCATCTGAATGTCTTCTTTGGTGACGCGTCTGTTCATATCCTGTGTTCATTTTGTAATTGGGTTGTTTATCTTTATCTTATTGAGGTGCTGGAGTATTCTATAAATTCTAGATATAAGTTCCTTTTCAGACATGTCATTACCAAATATTTTTTCCCAGTTGTGGCTTTCCTTTTTACGCTGTTGGAGAAGTTTTATGATGTGCATAGAGATTTTATTCTTAGTAGGTCCCATTTATCTATTTATTCTCTCCTGGTTGTAGGTTTTCCAGGGTGCTTGGAAGACTCTTCATGTTGTGGATTAGAGCTTCTAGAGTTCTTCCAAGCTTTTTCTGGTGAGGTTTATAGTCCTTGGTTTTGCTCTTAGGTCCTTGATCCACTTTGAGTTGTTTTCTGTGTATGGGTGTGAGGTGTGAGTCTTGCTTGAGTTTTCTGCAGATAGTTTTTCAACCTTGCCATCACCACTTGTTAAAGAAGCTTTCATTTCCCCATTTAACTGATTTCATCTCCTTGTCAAAAATCAGTTGACCATAGGTAGATGAGATGATTCTCATTCTCAATTCTATTCCAATGATCTATGTGTCTGTCACTGTACCAGTACCATGCTATCTTGACCACTATGGCTGTGTAGTAGGATTTGATATCAGGGAGTTTTGTTGTTGTTAGGCATCCTCAAGTCAACTACAATGTAAAGTGACCCTGTGAACAACAAATTGGAACCTTACCATATTCTGTGCCATCCTCATAATTTCTGACGGTTTGAGCCTATTGTTACAGTCACTGTGTCAATTCATCGTGGTTTGAGTCTTCTTCTCTTTCACTGCTCCTCCACCTTCCCCAACATGAGGTCTTAACAACATGCCCAAAGTATGTAAGATGAAGTTACACCATCTTTTCTTTTTTTTTATTAATTTAGTTTGTTTAATTTTCATTTCAATGAACATCTACAGAGATTTTGGAATTCCATTCATTCATTGTTGCACCCTTCTCCCCGCACAAACCCCTCCCCCCCCCCCCCCGTTTGCTCCTCTCCTTGAAAAGCAAAAGAAAAACTCCCTCATTGGTACACAATCCCCCCGCACCTCCCCAAACCCCACGCCCTACCCCCAAATCAGCATCATCATGGTTGAATTTCCTACAAGATGTTTTGGCAATCCATGGAATTTTCAGTTTTTCATACTCTTCTTCAACAACTCAATTCAAAAGCATTGATTCTTCTTTGGTCTTCCTTATTCAATGTCCAACTTTCAGATGTATATGTAACTATTGAAAAACTATGACTCGGATCAGGTACACCTTAGCCTTTAAACTGACATCCTTGCTCTGTAGCACTTTGGAGAGGTCCTTGACAGCAGATTCATTGTTGTTGTTGTGTACTAGAGTCAGAACTGACCTATAGAATTCATTCATTAGCAGATTCACTAGGGAGATTATTTGTTAGGGACATGCAAATTTGAATCCTGTAAGATACCACTTCATATCTACTAGGTAATAAAACAAAACTCAAGAAAATAGTAAGCATTGAACAGGATGTGGAAAAGGTTTAACCCTTGTACTTTGGTGATTGAATTGTAAAATGGTAGGTTTCCTGATGAAATAAAATTTGATCTTAATGCACAAAGTTAAATATTGAATTATTACTGGGTCCACTAACTCCACTCCTGAATATATACCCAAAGACATTAAAGCAGGGACTAATGTTGTTAGGTGCTGTCAAGTTAACTACAACTCGTAATGACACTGTGAACAATGGACTTGAACCCTGCCCGGTCCTATGCCATCTTCACCATCTCTGCTATACTTGAGCACATCGTTATAGTCACTGTGTCAATCCATACCCCAAAGACATTAAAGCAGAGACTCATATTTTTGCACCAATGTTAATGGTGCATTATTCATAATACTCCCAAACAGGAAGCAATCCAAGTGTCAGTCATTGGATGAATGTCTAAAGACAATGAAATAAAAACATATTTACAATTGCATATTGTTCAGTTGTAAAAAAGAATGTAGTTCCAGTACATGCTATGACATGGATTAACTGGAAATACTATGTTAAGTGAAAAAACTCAGAATTAGTTTTTATAAATTGAGGAAGTAAATAAAGCAGTACCTAGAGGTAAGTATATAGCTTTAAGTGTAATTACCAAGAAAATAAACAATTTAGACTTTTAACTTAGAAACTAGATGTTGTTGTTGTTGTTATGTGCCTTTGAGTCACTTGTGACTCATAGCGACCCTATGTACAAGAGCTCTGAACCCTGCTTTATCCTGAGCCAACCTTACTGTCTCTGACACACCTTCCCCCAGTACCCCAGTTACTGAGTCAATCCATTTCATCAAGGGTCTTCCTCTCTTGCATTGTCCCTCCACTCTCCCAAGCATGATGTTCCATTCCAAGGACTGGTCCCTCCTTGCAACATGCTCAAAGTATGTCAGACAGAGATTCAGGATCCTTACCTCCAAGGATCAGCTTGGTTTCACCCTGTCTAGGACAAACCTGTTTGTTATTCTAGCAGTCCACTCAATACTCTCCTTCAGCACCACAGCCCAAAGGCATCATTCTTCTTCAGTCATTGTCCAACTTTCTGATGCATAGCAAGTAATTGCAAAGACCATGTCCTGGATCAGGCACACCTTAGTCTCTCGACTGACATCATTGTTCTTCAGTACTCTGGAGAGGTCCTTCACTGCAGATTTTCCCAATGCAATCATCTTTTGATTTCCTGGCTGCTGGTACTAAGAGTGTTGATTGTAGAGCCAAGAAAGCTGAAGCAGTTAACAACCTCAATCTCTTCACCATCTAATATGATGATGACAATTAGCCACGTGATAAGAATCTTTGTCTTCTTTTTTAATTTTTTTTATTTTACTGAAAGTTTACAGGGCCTTTGGATTTCCATTCATTCATTGTTACACACTGTCCTCCCTGCCCACTCCTCCCCACCCCCAGTTTGCTTTTCTCTTTGAAAAGTAATATATATATATATCCTTTCACTGTTATACAATCCCCCGCCACCCCCCCCCATGTTTGTCGTCTTCTTGATTTTAAGCTTCAATCCATATTGAAGGCTGTAGTCCTTGACCATCTGCAGCAAATGCCTCAGGTCTTCCTCAGTTTCAGCAAGGGTGTGTCATGCGCATAACAATAATAAAGGAATACAATTAAAGATCAGAGAAGTAAGCTATTAAGAAATATAATAACATAGAAAACAAAGTTATAATAAATTCAACCAATTGTCAGCTTTTAGATTAATATACACAGCATTTTACAAGACTAATCAAGAAACAACAATGCACAACATGCAATGTGAGGAATCATAAAGAGGATATAACCATAAATAAAAAACAAATCCATAAAACGACAAATCATTGCATGGTGAAAAAAAGTACTAAATGTAACTTTAGACTAAGTGATTTAAAAAACAGGCAAGGAAACCTGAAAAAGATGTGCTTGTGATTTAATGCTAACATTGTAGAACCCACATAACATATATGTTCTGAAAATACATACTCCACTGGTTTTTCACTCTGAATTTGTCTTGACTAACGTTAAGCTCTATCTTCTGGAATGCATGTCTTAGAGAAAGAAAATAAGACAGAGGGAATAAAAGAAAATGCAAGTTATGCCTGGGATTTCATCAAAGAAAAGCTAAATTAACTTTCTTACTTATGGTGCCTGACATGGTGAGCTGCTAGCTGAATTCTCCACAGTTGGCTTAACCAGCTGCTCTGAAGGAGAAGGTTGGAACTCCTCCTGTAAAGATTTACAGCTTTGGTTGCTCAGTGGAGGGTCGCCATGAGTCACAATCAACTCAATGACAGGGAGGTTTATTTGGATTAATTTAATATGATAATGATAGTTAACTAAGGAAATAGATCAATATCATATATGTATCATCAGTCATATTTAAGTTCTCCTGTACAAATATGTGGATACATACTTTGTGCCCAGTTCATATTTCTTTTTAAAGCAAACTTTACCAATCTTGGTGGGAGCAACACCTCAGTCTATTTTAAACATTTGAATGAGTAGGTGAACACATAATGTTTTTACTTATAATAGCTGTGTCTCATACCTTAG